TCAGTTATCAATTGCTTAACGTAACAAACTGCCCCAAAACTTAGTGGCTTAAACCTAGCAAATCCACTTTTGGGAATCTATCCAAAGAAACCAGAAACACGAATTCGAATGCTGCACCCCTATATTCACTGCAGCATTATTTACAATAGCAAAGATTTGAAGCAGCCCAAGGGCCCATGAGTAGATGCGTGGATAAAACAACTATGGTACATTACACAATGAAATACTACTCAGCTGTGAAAAGGAAGAAAATTTTACCCTTTGCGACAGCATGGATGGACCTGGAGAGCATTATGCTAAGAGAAATAAGCCAGTCAGAGAAAGACAGTACCATATGATTTTACGTATATGTGGAATCTAATAAACAAATCTATAATAATAAAAGCGTAATATGCTAATTAGACCGGACAGCCAAACGACCTTCCAGACTAAGCCACAGCAGCGGGGGCCGAGGCAGAGGCAATTAGGGGTGATCAGGCAGGCAGGCAAGCAGTTAGGGGTGATCAGACAGGCATGCAGAGTGGTTAGGGGCGATCAGGCAGGCGAGCTGTTAGGAGCCGGTGGTGCTGGATTTCGAGAGGGATGTCCAACTGCCCGTCAGTCGGACATCCCCTGAGGGGTCCCGGATTTGAGAGGGTGCAAGCCAGGCTGAGGGGGAGACAGACAGACAGACAGACACACACACACACACACACACACACACACACACACACACACCTTGCACAAATTTCGTGCACTAGGCCTCTAGTTAACAAATAAAATAGAAACATACAGATACAGAGAACAGACTGACAGCTGTGAGAGGGAACAGGGATGGGGGCTGGGTGGAAAAGGTGAAGGAATTAAGTAAAGAAAAAAAGTAAAAGCTCATAGACACACACACACATAAAACAATATATTTTATTTTTACTCCTTTTTCCACTTAAGAGGGATTCCAAGTAATAGCTGTTAACTATTCTCCAATGTCTACAGCCCATAAAGACATTTCCTGTTAACTCCTCTGAAAAAGGAGATCAATGCTATCTTTTCAAATATTCCTCTCTTCTTCCAATCTTCTCTTTGCTACTATTTTTCCTGTTACTGAGCACATTTATTGAGTCTTGTACTATAACTTCTCTATGCATGTACTTGAACTCTTAAATTCAAACCAACTGGCAAGTTGCTGCCTCCTGTAACACTGCCTACGCCAATTACTTGCTGATTCTGATACCTGACCAGTTCTGTCACAACCCCTATGAAACTTTAGGTTAATCCCTCAATCTCTCTGGAGCTCAGTTTCTTCACTCTTCCAGAAGACTGGGTTCGACAACACCGAAAATAACAATGATTCCTATGACTCATCAAATTCTTCTCCAGTCTTCACCGCTCCCACAAAGTTCATTCCCACACGTGGACCTGGCTGTGGGACACTCACGTGGCTGCATCACCACATTGTACTCCCTTTCTCCAAAAGAGTACAAAATGGTGACAGGGGAAAGTGACTTCCTCTGGTATGTGAAGTGTGGGATTAATCCAGGTCTCTATTTTTGACACATGCTGCACCTTGTAGAGATTCAGGCCTGGCCTCCACAGATCTCTTCTAGAATAAGCCTGGGGCCTAAGATAAGAGGCATCCGAAGACCCTTTCCTCCTCCTACTCCCTCGGAAGTTTAAAAATCTTGCTTCCTTTTCAGCTGGGGGAGGATTTGTTTACTGTTGCTAGGGTCCAGTTGTCAGGTTGCTAGGTCAGTGGGGCTTACTGTGTGGGTGGTGATAGGCCTATTTTATTTGTTTTATAAATAAATACCAACATTTGTTTCACGTGCCTTTTTCTTTTACCATCTGACAGCATCTCTTATCCCCTACCCATCCTGGGGAAAGTGAGAAGGGCTATGGAGCCCAAGCGCCCATGTACTGTGTTCATAGAAACATATTAGCAGTCACGTGGTTTGCTGTGTGTAGTTTACTGTAAACAAGTGACTCAGATTGTAAGTCCCATTAGGACTAGAAATAGTAATTCATCAACATTAAAGGGGGAAAGTGAACAATTACACCATCTTCTTTAAATGGCCAATTCCTCTGGAACAGATAAATCAAATTATGCAAACTCAACACCAAAACAACCAAGAGATCAAAGTTTGCATCTCCAATAACTGGACAAGAATATAGTATGTGTTCTCCTAATATGATACACCAATCAGGGCATCATTTATGTCGTATTCCTGTCCCAATCAGGAGAAAACATCATATAAACCCAAACTGCTACAAACTAACGGGACTATAATTTTCCAAAACGTCAATATGATGAAAGACAGAGAAGCAGAGGAACCATTCAGAGACTAAACAGACATAAGCACAACGTGTAATCCTGGATTAAATCCTGGACTGGGGAGGGGCTAGGAGGAGGATGCTATAAAAGACATTATTGGGATAATCACAGAAATTTTGATATGGACTTACATTACATAAGAGTATTACATCGATGTTACGATTCCTGTTTTTGTTAATTGTACGGTGGTTATGAAAGAGAATGTCCTAGTTCTTAGGAAATATATGCTGAAATATTCAGGGAAATGGGGTATGATGTTTGCAACTTTCAAACAACTAAAAAATATGTAATACAGAGACAGATAAGCTAGTGTGACTAAATGCTCATAAGAGATGAATAGAGGTGAGTTGTATTCCTGCAACTTTTCTGTAAATCTGAATTTATTTCAAGTAAAGCATTAAAAAAATTTAAAACGTGAAATGGAAGACTGAACTTGGATTGCTTACTTTTAAAAAGGACTTTAATTGTGCAAGTCTCCACCATTAAGTGCTGTGAGATTTGTGTGTCTTTATATTTCTCAGGATCCAGCCTTTTTCCTTATTTACTAATAGTTTCCTCTCTTCTGTTGATACCCACCCCTGCAGATCCTAAATATAAACTGAGAGAAAAACCTCCACATACGCGTTTTGTCCTCTTGTGTATTATTTCTTCCTCTCAGAGCAGAGAACTGACGCCCTCTCCAATGGAATGCCGTGTGACAGTTACTTTTCTTCACCAAAATAGCCTAAGTCCCTGTGACCTAGTTCATGGAGAATGAAGTACACTCACTCTCCTTGTAAAAAACAAAAAACAACCTGCCCCATTGAGTGGACTGCTGACAGATACACTTGAAACCTGAAGTTTAAAAATTCTCAGTAGAGCCCAACGACCCACACAATCATACTTACACGGAAAACTATTAACCCTAGAGTCATATACCTAAATACAAGGGCCAAAACTATGAAACTGCTGGAAGAAAACATAGGAGTAAATCTTTGTGACCTTGAATTAGGCAAAGCCTTCTTAGATGATACCAAAAGTGCAAGCAATAAAAGAAGTAATAGGTAAACTGCACATATTCAAATTAAAAACTTCTGTGCTTCAAAGGGCACCATCAAGAGAGTGAAATGCTGCCCTAGCTGGTTTGGCTCAGTGGATAGAGTGTCGGCCTGCGGACTGAAAGGTCCCAGGTTCGATTCCAGTCAAGGGCACATGCCTGGGTTGCAGGCTCCATCCCCACGAGGGGTCGTGCAGGAGGCAGCCGATCAATGATTCTCTCGCATCATAGATTGATTTTCTATCTCTCTCCCCCTCTCCCTTCCTCTCTGAAATCAATATATTTTTTTTTAAAAAAAGTGAAGTGTTAACCCATAGAACAGGGAAAAAAAACTATGCAAATCATATATCTGATAATGGACTTGCATGTAGAATATATAAAGAACACTTACAATTAAAAGCTATTGCCAAAAATATATAAAAGACACATAACCCCATTTCAAAATGGGCAAGGGATCTGAGCAGACATTTCTCCAAAGATATATAAACGGCCAATAAGCACACATAAAGATGCCTGAAATCATCAGCTATTGGGGAAATGCAAATCAAAACCACAATCAATTACTATTTCACAACCACTGGGATGGCTCAATAAAAGTCAGGTAACAGAGAGTGTTGGCATGAATATAGAAACACTGAAACTTCAACATTACCGGTGGAAATGTAAAATGGTGCAGTTGCTGTAGAAAACTGGCAATTCCTCAAATGTTGAAGTTATCATATAGCAAAGCAATTATATGCTTAAGTATATACCAAGGAATGAAAACATATGCCTACACCTAAAAAATGACTGTTCAAAGCATCATTATTCATCATCAGCCCCAAACAGAAAATCACCTAAATGCCAATCCATCAACTGATGAATGGACAAAATGTGGCATATCCATACAATGGAATATTACTTGCCAATAAAAAGGAACAAATATGGATACATGCTCCAACACGAACTTTCAAACATTATGCTAAGTGAAAGAAAGTCAGTCACAAATGGCCACATATTGCGTGAATCCATTTATTTGAACTCTCCAGACCATAACAACTCCAAATCCACTGGCCCCTCACAGCTCTAACAATCCATCCCTCTTAGCTGGTGCCTCACCAAACAGGCACTTTTCACCACCCCAATTCAGATAATTCAGTCTCATGAAAATTTAAAAAAAAAAAAAAAACACCTAAAAATGTCTCTCTCCAGCCCTGATTCATTCATTTATCCATGTCATCTTACAATTCCCTCCCTTCTGGGAGATGGTACCTCAGCTTTTCATGCAGACTCCTAGAGCAAGCAGCTCTCTCGCCAATGGCAGAGTGCCACCTAGTTGCAACACTCGGTAACTCACACTGGCAGCAGAAAGAGCACTCTACCCTAACGGAAATGCACTTCAGTGAAAGTAAGAAGCCACAAAATCATTTTGCAGAGCAATGCAATTGTTTTATATGTGCAGCTTATCACCCTAACTAGTTTAGCTCACAGTCTTACATGCATGTATTAGTCATTTCGAATTTACGAAATCAAATTTCATTTCCCAAATTGTGTTAAGCCTATATAAATTCATGTGTAGATGGTTAAAAATAATATGACAATATCTTTGGGTTTATTATAAGTAAGTAAACAGAAAAGATAAGTATAAAATGAAAAGAAATTTCATAATTTACTCACATATAATGGAGCTTGCTGTGGATTAAGTTTCATGACCCAGGACACTGAAAAAGAGAAGGGAGAAGAAATAAATGAGAATAAAATTAAAAGCTATTGCCAAAAATATAAAAACCACCTGAAGTCTTAGATGCCGGGCGTGGCTATCTGAGCACAATCGGAAGTCCAAAACTGTGGACTTCAGAAGGGGAGGTCCTTTGCCAAATACCCTAAATTTGAGAATAAGTTGACCCCATCTTCATAAGTCAGAGAAGCAGACCAAAGTAATTTCATTATAATTTGGCCGAAGTCTTACCTGTCCATAATAGGAAACTGAATTAAAGCACATACTAACCAGCAATATAAACAACAGTACAGAAATGTCATTCATACATGAAAACATAGATAAAATCTCACACTTTGTGTTCTATCAGATCACAGAATCTCATTATGAATAAACTGAAATCCAAACAGAATAAATAAGAGGTTATCAATGACCAAATGTTTAGAATAAAGAATAATGCCTTAGTGACAGCGCATAATTTAAAGAACAAAATCCTCTCAATATTAAAATCTTCACGAATCTGCCAGTTTGGTCAGGAAGTGTATGTCTGAGATTAAGGCTCACCTAAAGGACAGCTACACACTTGGGGGGGGGGGGGGGGGGAACGCGGATATAACCAGACTCTTAAACCCACTCATCTCCAACCAGAGGCAGGTGCAGGCTTCAGTAAGTGCTGCTGGACAAAGGCAGGACGATGCTGACAGCCAGGTGGCTGACCACCTTCATGCCTACCCTAGTTCATTCTCTGGTCCACCCCACACACTCGGGGCCATCTTTCCTTCCTGCCTGCCTTCATTTAACATTTTTGTGCCCTTAGGTGCTAAAATCACCTGCAGAAATCCACAATGAACGCCAAGCTTGAGAAATGTAGCAAGAACCAACTCTTGTAGTAGAAAAATAAAGATTTCCAGCCCATCAGATTCAAACAGCAAGCATGGATTAAAAAGGGAGATTGGAGCGCTTGAGTACTTTCTCAGTGCATTAAATATCCATTTAATTTAAAATTAAGCTCACTGTGCTCACTGGACTTTTAATCAGCTTTCTAGGTCCTGTTCAGACTTGCCTGGAACAAAGGATTCAAAGAACCTATAAATTTATGAACCAATTTGCCTGCACTTAAGTGTTCCTGCTGTCACAAGCAGAAGAAATACCAGTGGAAACCAAAACATGAATTAAAACTTTGGTAATCTGCCCAGGCAGTGTAGCTCAGTGTTTGAGCATCGACCTATGAACCAGGAGGTCACAGTTTGATTCCCGGTCTGGGCACATGCCGGGTTGAGGGCTCGATTTCCAGTGTGGGGCATGCAGGAAGCTGCTGATCAATGATGAGTCTCTCTCATCATTCATGTTTCTATTTCTCTCTCTCTCTCTCTCTCTCTCTCTCTCTCTCTCTCCCCCCCCCCTTCCTCTCTGAAATCAATAAAAGTGTGTGTGTGTGTGTGTGTGTATATATATATATATATATAGAGAGAGAGAGAGAGAGAGAGAGAGAAAGAGAAAGCGAGCGAGAGAGAGCGCTTAAGGCTTGCAGTATAATTACCTGATACAGTGTTGGGAACCTAGGATTCTGACAAACCTGGAAATTTCATTAATTGTGGAGTTTCTGTTAAAAGCTTCTCTAGCAAAATATGTCTGAACAAATGAAAGCAAAACCTTAGAAGCCTAAATAAAAATCGGTGTCCACAGCAGCAGTCAGCAAACATTTTCTGCAAAGAGCCAGAAGGCAATTATTTCAGGCTTTGCAGGTCAGACGGTCTGTTGCACTATGTAAATGAATGAGTGTGGCATGTTCCAATAAAACTTTATTTCCAAAAAGGAGCAGCAGGCTAGATTCAGCCACTGGGCCATCGAATGCCAACATCAGGTCAAAAACTCACAAGCTACCCTATATCATAAAAGGCTAATATGCAAACTGTCCCCTCGGGAGTTTGACCGACCAGGAGTTCAACCACTCACTATGACGTGCGCTGACCACCAGGGGGTGGCACGGAATGAATGAACGAAGGCCCCGATTGGCCCTGATTGCCGGCCAGGCCTAGGGACCCTACCTGTGCACAAATTTCGTGCACCAGGCCTCTAGTTTCTTCATAAGTCAAAGAAGCAATGTGTCCTCATTTGAAGACTTTAGACATTTCAATATTATCCACTAAAAAAACAAAACAATTCTCAATACAGGAAAGGCATAACGTGCTTCACAATATTCTCTACACAAGAAATCTAATTAAATGGATAGGCATCCCAAGTTCTTTACTGATTAACTTTGAGCAAGTCACTTAACTTGCCTAACTCTGTCTCCTTAAGTTGTTTCTATACATAAGGCACAGTAACCCCTGCCTATACTGTAGAGTTGTTGACAAAATTATGAGACTAAAGGCCCAATGCACGAAACTGCGCGAGACTCAGACCCGCGGTGCCGCCGCAGGACCCCCGGACCCCAGACCCACCGCACCGCGCCGCGAGACCCATCAATGCGCCTCCTGGGGAACGGTCGTTAGGTCATTACAGCGTTACGGCCACTGGCCTTTTGTAATATAGATAATCGAAGTGAAATGCTTCATTAAGCACACTGCCAGGCACAGAGCAGAAGCCACTGTTTCTTCTTCCTCACAGTTTCTGGGTCTCACTGGAGACGATCAAGTAAAATACATTGGAAACCATAATGGTTAAATGAAAGGCTGCAGGTACATCAGAGAGGTATTTGTGTCTTAAAATACACTGGTGGGTAAATTACAATTCAAACATACAACCAAATAATCAGAGGAAAGAATCTGGAGGAACAAATACCAAAATGTTTAGTATGCATATTTCTGGGAATTACAGGGAATTTTCATTCCTAAATTATCGGTTTCTTGATCACAACTATTCAAGCAATGAACAGATACTATTTTTTTGTAATCGGGAAGAAAGCATTACACGCAGCACATCTCTTGTAAGTCCCCTGTCATTAAATGTATCACAACGGGACTGAAAGTGAGTAAAAGACATTTTTTCCTGCATGTGCAAACTGAAGAAATCTACAATGAACAGTCCCTCAAGCTAATTTAAAAAGGCAATTAAAACAAAAATGCCTGTCCCGTATGTAGTAACATAAACCAAACTCACTATTGTTTAGCCATGCCCACACACTGTACTAGAGAAGCCTTTCACAGGAGCTCAGCAATTAATAAAATTAATTCAAGTCCGGGGTTGTGGGAATCAGAGGCCCCCAACACTGTATCAGGTAATTACACTGCAGACTGTAAACTTTCTGGAACCTGTTAGCTTGGTGATCTCGGCTTATTTCCTAGAAACAAGTTGCTCCAGGTTTGACAAACCAATCACTTCAGTGAACATGGTTTTTGTCATTCACAACAGAGACGTTTCCAAATGCACCCAAAAAAAAAAAAAAAGTGCAAACCATCCCCCACAACCACCCCCAGTCTCTATCTGAGCAGTGCAGCTGTTTGGAATCCAGCCAAGTATAAATAGACATGTTTTACCTACAGGGTACCTGCATAGCAGAATATGCTTCAAATGAATTTCCATGGCCAGGGCTCCTGCAAAGACTGGGCTACAGTAAATCTTCAAAACCCACAAACATTTGGAATGAGGGTGAACATGAAAATGACGATGCACACTCTGAATTTTGTTTAACAGTCAATGTTTAGCAGTTTCTCAGTCAGAACTCTTCCCATAATAATTTCTTCAATACTTAAAAAAAAAATTACTTCGATTTAAAAATCAGAACTCTGACTTTCTTACACTCATCTTAGCGCGTACTTTGAAATGGGAGAGTACACCATAACCTTTTCGGTGCTTAGGGTCTCCTTTTCTTTATATACGTGCGTAATATCTGCCTGGCACACTAGCTAATCTCATATTTCTGAGCCCCAAGAATGTTACATGTATATAGCTAGTTGCTGAGCGTTAGGGATAAATACTAGATGGCAACTACCAACTTAATAAGGGACACAACATGTAAACAGTAATGATATTATAGTGTGATAAAAGTAATAATAAAAATTTTACAGGGATCAGGAAGGAGCAATAAACTCTCTAGAAGGTGGAGGCCCAGACAGCTGCCTGGAGAAGGCCAACCCTTGCCAAGTTTCACCACGTGGACACAGGAGAAGCATAGTGAAAAAGGAACACAGCACTGTGAGTTAAGACCTACACGAAAGAGTAAGAGTGTCAGCAGGAGGTGATGGGAGAGGAGTCAGGAGAGACAGCCCTGTGAAGCCACATACATCAAAAGCTGCTTGGCCTTAGAAGCCAAAGAAGGGAGAGAGAAGAAAATACACAAACCTCTGGCACAGATCTACCCTACAGAAATGACAGCCACACCCGGCCGGCATGGCTCTGTGGTTGAGCATTGAACCAGGAGGTCATGGTTCGATTCCCAGTCAGAGCACATGCCCGGGTTGCAGGCTCCATCCCCAGTAGTGGGCGTGCAGGAGGCAGCTGATGGATGATTCTCTCTCATCATTGATGTTTCTATCTCTCTCTCCCTCTCCCTTCCTCTCTGAAATCAATAAAAATATTTTTTAAAGAAATTACAGCCACACAACTGCTATGCACCAACAAATCTCTGCTTGGCTTTGCTTTTCCTTTACATTTTTTTTTTAAGCCCAGCTCAAATGTTTGTTCAGTCACAACTGCAGATTCAAAGCTTCACAAACGGTAGCACTGGAGGAAGTTGGTAATCGTGTAGGTTAAACTCAAACCCAGACACAGCAAGAATCTGTTGTGTGACAACCAGTAAGGCCAGGCCGGACGCCACTGTGATTTCCCTGAGGTACGGCCAGTGGCTCCCAACCAATTCCCCCGGGCCCTGGGGTCCTCATCCTAGACCCTAACCATAGCCTGTCAGCCACAGCACTTTATCAGCAGAAGGGGTCTCGGAAACAGCCCGCACCCCCTGCCACCCCACACAGGAGTCACTGGTCTGTCTACCTGCCCCTGCTTGCAGACCGGAGTGCCAAGGCCTTATCGCCTTGAGAAAATCTCTCCTGCTCCATCTGCACC